GTGCTTTTTCTGGTGCTAAATTTCGTCAAATCTGGTGCTAAATTTCGCGCGTCCAGAATGAACCTGCGAGCCAAAAGCAGATCGCTCGGAGCACTTGGCCTCAGCAGCGTTTGACTTTGTCGTGGCCGCCTGTGCAGTTTCTGGCGCTTTCCTGGTGCTTTTTCCGGTGCTAAATTTCGTCAAATCTGGTGCTCTTTTTTGTGTTTCCAATTGTGCTTTTTCTGGTACTAAATTTCGTCAAATCTGGTGCCTGTTTTTGTGCTTCCAATTGTGCTTTTTCTGGTGCTAAATGTCGTCAAATCTGGTGGCCCATTTCGTCGGCCAAGCAGCTGTTAGGGTTTAGGGCTTAGGGTTTATAGGGTTTTGTGAAGATTTGGTTTCGTCTTGGCCTCTGTCTAACCTGCAAGCAACAGGAGGTTGGAATCGTGACCTCCACTTCTGTTCCGCGGCCGGTCTTTTCGAACCGTTGCTTCTAGTGATTGGTGTGCTAGATTGTCACATGAAAATATTTCACTTATATAGATATGTCAAATCCAGCAATGAACATGTAGACTGTGGCGGCTGGGGCTGGTGTTGGTCTGGTGCTGCGGCTGGCTGGGGCTGGCTGGGGCTGGGGCTGGGTGCTGGGTTGTTGGCGCTGGTGCTGGTGGTGCTGGTGGTGGTGCTGGTGGCGCTGCTGCTGCTGCTGCTGCTGGTGGCGGCTGCTGGGGCTGGTGGTGGTGGCCGCTGCTGGGGCTGCTGTTTGGTGCTGGGGGTGCTGGTGGTGGTGGTGGTGATGGCTGCTGTGGTGCTGGTGCTGGTGGTGGTGGAGAGGGCAGAGGAGGGAAGGAGAACAGAGGAGAGGAGAGGAGGAGAGGAGGAGAGGAGAGGAGAGGAAAGGAGAAGAGAGTGGAGGGGAAGAAGGGGAAGAACGGGCAGGAGGGGCAGGAGAGGAGTGGAGGGGTTAGCATATTCAAAATCCATTTGGAGAGGCCCCAGGTAACGATGAATTATCTAGGATTTCCTGGTGCTAATTTTCGCTGGTTGTCTTAATAAAGAAACCTTTTTGCAGAGTTACAGGGGGGTGGCCGGACTCAAAGTATCCCACAAGAGTGTCCTACAGGAGTGTCCCACAAGAGTGTCCCACAAGAGTACCCCACAAGAGTGTCCTACAGGAGTGTCCCACAAGAGTGTCCCACAAGAGTTTCCCACAAGAGTGTCCTACAGGAGTGTCCCACAAGAGTGTCCCACAAGAGTTTCCCACAAGAGTGTCCCGTAAGAGTGTCCCACAAGAGTTTCCTACAAGAGTGACCCACAAGAGTGTCCTACAAGAGTGTCCTACAAGAGTGTCATTTGGACATATGTAGCTTTTTGAACGTGTTTGCATTCGGGTTCGTGGGCTCCATCTTGTTTTTTTCTGAGGTTTCCATTGGATCAAAGCCAGCGCAAACACCAAAATGACTGCAGGCTTCTACGAAGGCAACAGAAGTACATCAATGCAACCTAGGCATGCAATGGATTACAGCGCGAACTGATCAATTACTTTACTTTGGTTGCCTGACTGATCCCCACCCTGAAGGGCTATTGGAAAAAGGCAAGGCTAAATTTGACAGACTACCCTGACAAACGCTTCCTGACCTGTGCATTGACAAATGTTCTGATTTGACACATCATCTAGAATCTAGAGTCAAGGCTGGGTTATGCTCTAGATTTTGAACTGTGTTTTGACATCCTTTTCTGGCATGTGTTCTGAACATGCGTTCCCTATCTTCTGGCATGTGCCTCTGGGCATCCTGACATGTGTTCTCGCATCACACCTGGCATGTGTTCTGAAATGTGTTGTGACATGTGATCCAGCTTCTATTCTGACATTTCTTCTGGCATTTCCGACGTCTGTTCTGATTTGTGTTGTGACACGTGTTCTGTGACCTGTTCTGCTGTTCTGACACGTGTTCTGTCGGGATCCAGCGCACTCCACTCTGCAGCCCAGCAGAAGGAAGTGGCGGATCTGCGCTGAGGAAAAATCTAGAGACCCTCACCTGACAGGTGGGGAAATTCTTACACTATACAGTATAATTTGCGTCAGACTCATTGAGACGTCTGAAAACAGCCTCAGCCTGCAGGAGCACGTGACTTTACGTTCCCTGACACGCAAGCACATTAACCCACAACTCACGATATATTTTGTGTATATATATATATACTATATATATATATCCCAAGCACGCCCTTCCCAACGGCTCAGTGACATCGGGGGCTAATCTGTGTTTGGTCGCGGTCTGCTATACTCAGCTCCTACTTTGCGCTGCTGGCACGCTGATCTTGGGCAAAGCTCCAGCTTGCTCCTGTCTCAAGTGTGAAATGATGGCAGTCATGGCCCGTCGGCAAGTCAAAAGGCGCGGCGGCATAGAGGATTTACATGATTCAGTTTTGATTCTATGGTTAGCGGTGCATTGGATGCTACCGTCCCCGTGCCGTCCACCACAATGAGCCCCTGACCCCCGAAGGCATGTATCGAAACGGGCTAGGATTCTTAGGCCAGCCTCGTACTAACAGGATCTAACAGGGAGGTTTGAAGTGCATGTCTTTCCCTCGTGTCAGAGTTGCTCTGCACTTGCTCAGTCTACAGGCCTCAATGCACTGCAAGATCTCTGCTGCGTTCATCAGCCCCATCTCCTTTAGGCAAGCTTGGCCATCTCCAAATCTCACTCTTTTTGTTCTATTCTATGCCAAAGCTTTCGTTCACGTCAATCATTGTCAATGCTTAAACACAGGAAATGGACTGGTCAGCTGTCCTGGCTTTGCTCGGAGGTACTGGCTCGTCGCAAGGCAGCAGCTGCCTTTTCCCAACGGTGCTGTGTGCTTTGTGTTCTTTTGATATTTCTTCCAGGTCTCCATTTCACACTGGAAGACATCTACAAATAGGCTGTCCCTATACCGTTTCCAAGTCTATGTCATGGCCTTTTCAAGCGCAAGCGTGCAATTGCAGTTTGGGATTAGCCCCGCCTCAGCAGCTCCGACGTCCTGGAGGCGAATGGCAAACGTGACCAAGTGTTTCCACTTCCCCGACGACCCAGCCAAGGCAATGTCATCAAAGTTGCGCAGGTGCGCTGCGCCAACATGCACCAGCTACACAGTTGACACACATGTTACACTGTATACAGTAAATTAATCTATGCTTGTGTTCGCTGGACCCAGGCTAACTCTGTAAATCTTGAAAATAAGACACATTAAAACAGAAAGCAAAAAAAGCAACTACAAAAAGCAAAAGAACACACCAATTCAAAAAAAGCAACAAAACACAAATGCAAAAAGCACAAGCAAAAAAAGCAAATCAAAAAAGACAAAAACACATGAAAAAACAAAAGCAACAAAAACAATTAAAAACACGCACAAAACAAATGAAAAAACAAAATAAACACAAAGCAAATCCAAAAAGCAAAAGCAATTTTCCGCTTTTTCTTTGCTATTTGTTTGTTCACTTTTTTCGAACGTTTTTGCTTTCGCCTTCTTTTTCGCGCGTTTTTGCTTGCCCACATTTTTTCAGTTTGTTTTTTCCCCGTTTGTTTTTTTCGCTTTTTGTTTCTATTTTTGTGCTGTTGTTTTTTCGTTTATTTTTAAACCTATTTTTTTTTCGCTTTTTGTGTTGTCATTGCCATTTTTGTTTTCGCTTTTTGCTTCTTCATTTGCTATTTGTTCGCTTTTTTGATTGTTTTTTTCTCGATTGTTTATGTTTCATTTTGTTTTTATTCGTTTGTTGCTTTTTATTAATATTTTTTGCTTTTTTGATTTGTTTTTTTTGATGTTGCTTTTTCATTTGCTTTTTTTGCTTTTTGGATTTGCTTTTTTTGCTTTCGCTTTTGCAGTTGCTTTGTCGTTTTTTTTTCATTTTTATTTGGCAAGACCATCAGAGATAGACTAAGTGGTTTACTTGAATCTATGCCGCTCAGTAAATTCCATGAGCACAAGTCAAGATATGCCACCCAATAAATGGACACCGTCCTGCACCCCCAAAAAAAGGGAATCTGCAAGGAACACGCCCAAAGAAGATTCAGGCCTGAAGCATAGAGGTAGCAACTCTTAGCAAGGCGATGTCCACCTCTTCCTGCCTTGAATGCCACAAAGGCAGGGGCAACAACAGTGATTGATGACAGTTGATGAGTGTTGATCCTTATTCCAAAAGGCCGACAGGCTGAGCCTAAAAGCTTAAGCCGCTTGATGAGTGGTGCCCACCCGCCACAGGCCTCAGCCCAGTCTCTAGAAGTCGTTGCTTCACGTCCTCACCAGAGCCAAGCAGCGGTCTCCATGCCAGGTGGGCTGTGTAACATAGTGTAACAGCATTAGCTAGATCTGACGTCTAACTAGCAAATACGGAAATATAAACGACGGCAATTCAACCCCAACTGAGATATATTATATATAATTAAGTTGGTGTTCCCACTGTCCCTCTGCTTTGAACACGCCACACGTGCACATTGACAGTCACAAGGTGTCAAGCTGGCGGGCACATTATTTAGCAATTTTGTGGAGAGAACATGTTTTCTTGCAAGCACTCACCGTGTCTGTCTGTCTGTCTGTCTGTCTGTCTCTCTCTCTCTCTCTCCCTTCTCCATTCCCTAACCCCAGCGCTCCTGCACAGTATGTCTCCGCTGCTGGGTTTGTGGCGACGCGGCTTCAGCCGCGGACTGGCATTGAACACGCGATAGGATATTTACAGTATTAATACAGTAGTGAAAACAAGGAGGCCAAATCTATGCTTGTCCTCCTAGCGCCTTCCAGTTCAAAAGTGCAGTTTTCATCGCACAAAATAATGGTCCAGTGATGCCTCAAGTAAATGATGCATTTATTCTGGTGAACCGGCGGCGGGCCGCCACTCAAATGCACGCAAACAAAAATCAAATCAGATTAGTCAGCGACCCCAAATTGGGAGGGGGGGAGCCATGCCTCAGCGGCTGTACTGCCTCGGTACAGTCAAATTCAAACTATACAAGCAACACATTGTGGCGGCCAATAGTGCCTTAGGTGTTACCTCCCACATTCCGAGAAACAAGCACGTATATGACATCATATACGTAGTCAAAAACTAAAGCGGAAAAGATCGTGCCTTCAATCGTGGTATTAATACATCCTTGAGCTAAATTAAGACAGAATGAGCAACTAGCAAGGCTGTCAAAGGTCATGATCTACATGAGAGGGTTGTGGGGCACAACACAACATCCTTGTCTTTGTCAATCTTTCGGGTTCGCTTGTATAACTCAGCCTGGCCCAGGGACACAACATCAACAAACAAATACAAAAGGCTTCTCTATCGGAAACTGAGCTCCATGCTTGATGAGTAGTATGCTGCTCCAGCTGATTGCGTGCCATCCCCGAAAGGGATTTCCAGGCTATCTCTTACCTTGCCTCCCAACAGGTGCACAAGCTCATCCAACATCACAAAACCAGCTGTCCTCAATTCAAAAAAAAAGGAGGAAAGCTGTGCGCTGTGAACATCAGGCTTCCATGACCTACCATTGTATGACGAACTGCAGGAGACTTGCTCCCTTGCCTGCTTTCTTGTTTTTGTACACCAGCTTCTTTGGCACTCCAGCGGCAGAGCCCATGGCCAAGGTGGAAAAGAATCAATCAAACGTAGCGATATACACAGTGTACAATATACCGGGCTATTGTGTGGAAGATCGCCAATGACGACAATAGAATAGCTCCAATATGCCCAAAAAAGAAACAAAAACATACAAAAACCACTTTGCCGCACATCAGAGTCACTGGAGATCACTAGAGTGCATGATACTTGAATGGACACCTCTTGCAGCTTCCCTTGACTTAAATCGCTGGCAGCATGGCTGATGTTTCAATTCTCTATTGCACATTCCTGATGCAAGCTTGCACGCGGGACTTTATGCTTGGACCAACCAAGCGAGTTCCAGTGTTCCAACCTTTCAAAACGTTACAACGTAAACTCCATAGTCCATGCCAGCTTGCAAATGGCCTTCCAGATTCTTCCAGTCATTTTTTTACTGCACAGGGCATGGCTATCATACCAACCCCGATAGCTCCCCCAACCAGCCCCCTGTACAGGAATGAATTGAAGAAACTGCACAAATACCTTCCAGCGAGGGAAGTTTCTAGCCGGTCTTTCGAGACCGCTTCCTGCCACCAAAAGAGCCACGATCTCCGGTGCCCATTGGATACCGACCTAAGCCGATTGAAATTTGTGTTTCTGCACCAGGCGAAGGCCGATGAATCTAATTTGCTACCAAGCCGCATGCTGTGGATACCTCCCGGCTGGCTATGACCTTGCTCCATTGAGGTAGCCATGTAAGGCTTTGAAGAACGTATGCAAGTGCAACTCATCTTCTCTGCAGAGTCTTTTTTCCCGAATGCGTAGCGAAGGGTTCTCGTTTAACTCTTGGGGGTCTGGGGGTAGAGTGTCCCACAAGAGTGTCCCACAGGAGTATCCCACAAGAGTGTCCTACAAGAGTGTCCCACAAGAGTGTCCCACAAGAGTGTCCCGTATGAGTGTCCCGCAAGAGTGTCCCACAAGAGTGTCCCACATGTCCCACAAGAGTGTCCTACAAGAGTGTCCCACAAGAGTGTCCCGTATGAGTGTCCCACAAGAGTGTCCCACAAGTGTGTCCCACAAGAGTGTCCGACAAGAGTGTCCCATAAGAGTGACCCACAAGAGTGTCCTACAAGAGTGTGCAACAAGAGTGTCCCGTAAGAGTGTCCCACAAGAGTGTCCTACAAGCAGTTCCCGGGCAAGCCGGCGGCGGAAGTTTCCTATAAGAACAAATTGACCTATAGGAGTGTCCACGTTCTCTCCAACATGCGCGTCCTCCAGTCAAACGCACGCGCTCCGGACTTTTGACCCACGGGATTCAACGTGTGTAAGGTGTGTGCCCCCTGCAGGATCAGTGTGTATGATGAGTGGTGTATTGACCAGCAGTTGAATGTCCTGTCCTGCATAAATGCAACCAAATACTATCAGTATGAGCTGTGCCAAACCTGCACGCCGCGAGAGATGACTCAGCAGCGAGAGATGACTGAGTCGCGAGAGAAGACTCAGCCGCGAGAGATGGCTATAGCGAGAGCTGACTCAGCAGCGAGAGATGAATGAGCAGCGAGAGATGACTCAGTCGCGAGAGATGACTCAGCAGCGAGAGATGACTCCTCCGCGAACTACACTTGTACTACAAAGTGGCCAGTTCTCAGCTTGCTAAAGTTGTACTAGAAAGTCGCCAGTCAGATCTCATCTTCCAGCTCTACAGATTGCTCCGCGTACTGCAGTTGTACTACACAGTCGCCAGTTCTCAACTTCTAGCTGCACAGATTGCTCCGCGGACTAAAGTTGTACTAGAAAGTCGCCAGTTCTCAGCTTCCAGCTCTACAGATTGCTCCGCGTACTAAAGTTGTACTCGAAAGTCGCCAGTTCTCAGCTTCCAGCTCTACAGATTGCTCCGCGTACTAAAGTGGTACTAGAAAGTCGCCAGTTCTCAGCTTCCAGCTCTACAGATTGCTCCGCGTACTAGAGTTGTACTAGAAAGTCGCCAGTTCTCAGCTTCCAGCTCTACAGATTGCTCCGCGCACTAAAGTTGTACTAGAAAGTCGCCAGTTCTCAGCTTCCAGCTCCACAGATACTCCGCGCACTAAAGTTGTACTACAAAGTCGCCAGTTCTCAGCTTCTAGCTGCACAGATTGCTCCGCGTACTAAAGTTGTACTAGAAAGTCGCCAGTTCTCAGCTTCCAGCTCCACAGATACTCCGCGTACTAAAGTTGTACTACAAAGTCGCCAGTTCTCATCGTCCAGCTCGCCAGATACTCCGCGTACTAAAGTTGTACTACAAAGTCGCCAGTTCTCAGCTTCCAGCTCCCCAGATGCTGTGCCTGCCACGAAATCTGCACATGGAGGTTCACAAAGTGCTGTGCCTGCCACGAAATCTGCACATGGAGGTTCACAAAGTGTTGTGCCTGCCACGAAATCTGCACACGCAGGTTCACAAAGTGCTGTGCCTGCCACGAAATCTGCACTTCAAGAAACAAGTGAAAACTCTAATCCCAATGGAGGGACGATTCCGACCATGCCCGAGCATGATCCGAGAATGACCCGAGACCGTCTCGCAACCGTCGTTCCGCAGACCTTGACTTGCCAGCTTCGCAGCCACCGGTTCCATTGAAAAATACAGCATTTCGTGCCTTCGCTATC